TTGTCCCGAAACTCAAATTTGTCTTTAAATAAAATCCTCATGGGAGAATGTTTTACGGAGTCAAATGCATCCTTTACCCAAACTGAGTAAATCTTTGCAGCATATAAAAACAAATAATGAACTAACAAAAAGTTTGAAGATAAAACAACAAAATAACTTAATCGTGTCAAAGAAAGCAATATAGAAAATGTAAAATAGAATGGGGAAAAAGAGCATCAGAGAATGCAACTAGTCAGAAACCAGAAATTTCTCCAAATACATGAGTAATTATTGTGAAGGTAAATATGTGGAAACACAACAAGAACTAAGAAAATTTTATATTCTTGTTTAGCATGTCTTTTTTAAAACATTACTAAAAAAGTTTTGTCAATGCTTAAATTTCCTCTGAAATAGTTTTTTTATAATAAAAATATATTATTTAAAAATGAAAAAAATTCACATTATAGTTTTCTAATAGTTACTGCCAGAACACTGGCCGAGTAAGGATGATTCTGCAACCTGTTTTCTCAGCTCACAGCTTCATCCTCTATGACTATAGATGCTGAAAAAGATAAATCTGACATTTCAGTTAGTATTCTGACTCATGGAAAAGGGAAACTAATCTGAAGAAACTGGGCCAACTGTAACTAAGAAAGGAGAAGATGACAAAGACTATCTTTCTCTCAGCTTTATGTGATGTTAGCAATTTGCCTTATTGTGTCTTATACCACAGAACATTTTTGAATGGTATTATGTGTCAGTTAAAATGTGGCATCTTTTTGAAATCACTCACTGAAAGTTTAAAGAAAAAAAAAGATTTAGATATTTTAAAGGTAAACATGATGAGTTCTTTTAAAGTTGAAAGTCTTTTCTGACATCTTTTCAAAGTAAAAGTGAAAAAATCATGGAATCTCATACAGTGTAAATTATATTTCATTGATTGGATAACTGTACATGATAGCTGAGAAACTTATAAAGCCTTGAACCTTTGCCATTGGTGGAGTGTCTGCCAAATGAAAAGTTAATAAAAGAAATCATGTCAATGTGGTTTCAATGATATGGAAATCTTCAAATTAATTATCTAACTGAAAACACAAAAGCTGAATTAGCATCCTGCCTTCAGGATTGTAATTGATGTATAATGTTGTTTTCAATACATGAAAACAACAAGTGTAGCTTCATGTTGTATTCATCCATTTGTAAGTCCTTAATGGCTGAATACAACATGGAGCTACACTTGTTGTTTTCATGTATTGGGTGCAGAATAAGTATAAACTAATTATCATAGAAGAAAATTTATACAAATACTTAGCAATAAACGTGAGTAGTGCTAAAATATGCCGGGTGCCAAATAACCCTTCTGCATGATATTGTTTACCCTGGAATAATTTTACTGACGTTTGCACTGTTGGTGCAAAACAATAGTGATTAAAACTCCTGGTGCCTTATCACAAATTAAGATGGAGAAACCAAAGTATACGGATAGTAACATTCTCTTCACCATTATGCAATGACTGTTAAAAAAAAAGTCACTCTCAAGCAAGTATTAGAATTCGAGAAACTTGTATCCATCTCTGCATGCTTTAACATCATTCCATTACTTAAAGCTTTTTTGATATGTGGCAATATTAACAAATGCAATTTATTGTTTTTATTATTTCAATATTAGATAATAAAATATGTCATGAACAAATGTTTTCCAAAAAATCAATGTGTGGTGGTATAATCATACATGAGTAAAATATCCATTCAAAATACATAACCTAGTGAGTTTTACTATACCAACATATGAAAAATTCGTTGATATGATTTCAGATTCCACATTGAAATTAATCTCGAAGAAACTACCACTTGTCAAGTTTGAATATAGTATTAAAGGTAGCCACAATTATTTAAAAAGTGTTATCAAACACTGCAAATTTTCTAATGTCACTTCTGTGTGAGGCCAGCCTTTCTTTATATGCTTCAAGCAAAACAACATTGTCGCAACAGATTGAATACAAAAAGCTACTCAGGAGGGGGAGGCAGGAGAATTGCTTGAATCTGGGAGGCAGAGGTTGCAGTGAGCCAAGATCCCACCACTGCACACCAGCCTGGGTGACAAAAGCAGAACTCCGTCTCAAAAATAATAATAATGAAAAAAAGAAATGTGAACCTAGCTCTTTTCCATTGAGATGTAAAATAATGGCACTCTTCTCACTAATTGTTTTGGATGATATTGTTATTTTCAATAAAACATATCAACATAATGGGTCTAATTTTGTCATTATCATTATTATAAAATAAATTGTTCAATAATGTTTTAATTTTAGTTTCTAATATGGTAAATATAAAAAATGTAAGCCATACAAACAAAATTTCTGCCATTCTTAATAATTTTTAAGACTGTAAAAATGCCCATCAAAAAGTTTGGTAACTGCTACCCTAGAGAAATCCTTGCACTTACTGGAATAAATATACAAGAATGTTCATATTTTTATTATAAAATCATGGGAACAACTTACTATATTTTATATGAATGAACAAAATTATGTTATATTAATCTGTGGTATTGATTTTACCCTATGACTATTCATAGCAAAATTTTTAATTAAAAATTTTGATAATTATCATAATGCAAATCTTCTAACATAATTTATTTTTGCATGGAAAGGCCTTATTTCTCTGTCATGTTGATTCTAAATTATTTTCTATCTCATTCACATTAGAATTAAATTTTCAATCTTTTTGAAATTGACAAAATTTTAAGATTTATTTACACCACTATCTATGGCCTCAGTTATTGTTGTCAAAACTTGATGTTGCTTTGCTGTAGCAAACCTAGGTATTAAAGATTTTTACACTCTGCTGCTGAGATTTGGGCAAGGTGCTCCTTGCAAGCACTAAATAACTGAAAGAGGCTTTTCTTTCTTTTCATTACACTGCAAGAGTAGGAGGAACTATAACAATTTCTAGGAATTTTGAAGGAAAAAATATTTCATATATATGTGTATCAAATAAATGTATTTGTGTTTGTCTCTATATATCACTTTGTGTTATTGACTACAGAGGGTGTTAAAGACAACAGATCACATGCTTTTGCATTCTGGTGACCCCATTACCAAAAAAGAAAATTTCAAGTGATAAATATATTTCCCAATTTTTTCACTTTTTACATCAGTGGGGCAGTTTTCATATTTTCACATGTGGATGAATTATGTATTTTCCTTGAAAATCACATTAAAATTAAAATTATTTATTAAGCTCTGATTCTGTGACCTGACATTTATGTACATATGCCAGTAGGTACCTTTGGATGGAGAGAGGAGAAAACAGAAAGGGTGAGGGAAACCATGACTTGAAATATAGACCACAAGGTGAGAGCTCACAAAGCAACAGCAGCCCCCCTTATGTTCCCTCCCACCTTGGCATAATACCTTGTGATACTCTGCCACTGTCAACAACCTGGATCCAATAATATTCCTAACACTGTTAGCTGACTGGGGATTTTCTCTCTGCTTATTGGTTTTATGAAATATCTTATACCTGAAACATCTCCATATTACCCTTGTTTTTTTCTTTTCACTTACTATTTATTTAAGAAAGCATTTCTCCATGCCCTACAAACCAAAAATTCTCATCAGATTGAGTTTCATTTAACCTCATATATAGTGACTGGCTTTCCAATCTGACTCTGGCATAACATTATGAGACAAGGAAAAAGTCAAAATATTTAACCCCAAAACTTGTTTCTCTGTCATATCTTGAAATGGCCCTGCAAAGCCATCCTTTGTGGCGGAAAATCTGCATCTGTAAATAATCTCTATTAGCATAGCTAGATCTTTTTCTTCCAGGACCCCCCAACACTGAAGAGATTAACTAAAAGTCTAGCACCTTTTAAAGATCTGAATAGGAAACATTTGTCATCTATTGTTTCTAAGGGCAGTCACTATAAAACTTCAAAAGAACCTTGGTCTCCACAGTCTTTTGACTTAACCTGAAAGATTCCTTTCTATAGATGCTATGTCTTTAAACAAACTCAAGCAGAAAATATTTAAATGTACCTATAATCTGGAAGTCCTTGCTTTGAGTTGTCCCACCTTTCTGAATCAAACCAATGTAATTCTTATATGTATTTAATTGATGTCTCCTGCCTCCCTAAAATATATAAAACCAAGATGTACCCCGACCACCTTGGACATATGTTCACAGGGCTTTCTGAGGGCTGTGTCACGGGCCATGCTCACTCATATTTGGCTCAGAATAAATCTCTTAAAATATATTTTTTTAAAAAGACGCCATTTCTCAAAAAGTCCTCTGAAAATATTCCCTTTCCATTTGTGTTATAACAATATATGCTCAATATAAAAAATAAATATTACCATAATTTGGGACACAAGGTGGAACTCAAATAAATAAAATGCTTATAATTGTAGGCACAGAGTAGAAGGTTTAAGATGAATGGCTCTGGAGCTTAATTCCTTGAAGTCAAACCCTCTCCCTGCCACTCTTTAAATGTGTGTTCTACAGCAAGGTAATTAACCTTTCCGTGATTTGGTTTCCTGGAGATTGAACTAGTACTGACCTCCTAGGACTGATGTGAGACTTAAAATAATTAATTAACATTTCATTGGTAATAGTGACCTCATAAGCCTGAAGATAAATCTAAAGATTAAATTAGCTAATCAGTTATGAGAATGGAATTAACCTCATAATAGTATTTAACACCCAATAGGTATTCACTTTATTAGATGTATAAAGAAGCATGCTTTTACAGCTTTAATTTCATTTGCAGTGTAATATTTGGCAACTGCTGTTTCACTTAGCATAAACATTTTTCTCTATTAGTATCACTATTTGTAATCTCCAACATTACATTTTATGAAAACAATGTAATTTAATCAAGCAGTTATATTTTGGGATATGTATGTCATTTCCATTTGTAGTTTTACAGATACAAGGCTAAATTTAGCATTATTTTACATACATTTATATGCAAATAGTTTTTATTATCTAGGATACTTTGTCAGTATTGGAATTACAAAAATTAGGTGTATTCACTCCTTCACTCCAAGAACATTTAGTGCATGTCTGTTCTGAGGCTGGCATTTATCTTCAGCTCACCGTCTGATTGCCATCTAAGGAACAACCTAGGTTTCTGTTCCCGTAGAGATTAAATCTCATGAGTTATAATGTATGCTTTTGTACACACTGTCAAATGACCTAACTGACAAAGTTTGTACTTTGTCAGTCATCTTCTCATCAACAATATATGAAATACTATTCCTTAAACTTTAGCCAATGGGGAACATTTTAAACCAACAAGCACAATATAAAGAAGCAAACAACACAATGACAACAACAAAACTGTGCCAATTAGAGAAAAACAGTATGACATTAATTTGTTTTGCTTTGTTTTCATTCTTTTAAATGTATACTTTAATTAAGTATTCATACTTCATAGCTATTGCCTTTATCTAGTACCCCTGCTCATTTTTCTTTGAGACACAGAGCAGAGACTACTTGATGCCAATATGCCCACACGAAAAATACACATTTTCTATTATATTTTTGCAGATATAAGAGAAGAAATGATTCAGTTCTGAACAATGAGATGTGAGCTCATTAGATTTTAATGAAAATCTTTTTTTGTATTTTACATTATAAAACAGTTTAGTAAAAGAGGATGGAGATATATATGTACATGTATATATACTTTTTATATTCTATATTGTTTCTATTTTTAGATTCCATTTTGTCAGTTGTTTTAGTCTACATAGAATTTATTCATGTACCAAACAAGTACTTTTCATGTGTAAAAATATACCAAGTGAGTCCATATTTTGTAGCAATGCTGGCTAAATACACAATAGTAAGTAAGAAAAACTAATCTGAATACCGAAAACATTTATTTGCTATGTTATTTGGACAAGTTACTTAATACACCTGACTTTCAAATGTTTCGTCTGTAAAACAGGAATAGTATTATCCATTTTACATGTTTAATGTCATGATGAAAACAAAAAGTGTATGTTGAATCCTAAGAATACTATGTTAGTAATCAATTTTATCATTGCTGTAATTACTATAATTACTATTGTAACTTGAATATCCTAAGATTGTGACTAAAACACAAGGCTATATTCTCAAATTATGGTAGATGGAGGCCTCAGAAACTTTACTGTTTGTAATTAAATCAAGGTGACTTAAGGCCTTTTAATTCTCAAACCATGGTGGATTACAGCCTCAGAAACGTTGTTGTTGATAATTAAATATCTCTCTGTGGATTCTCTCCATTTTTACGGAAGATTAAAATGGAGTATCTCATGTATGCCCCAAAACTCAGTCTGCCACTTCTCTTTACCTTGATGCTTGTTTTCTTTCTGCTTTCTAGTTTTGACCCTATTGTGTCTGCTGCTCACATAGTTATTTGAGTGCTTATTGTTGGTACTGCCCATAATTGGCAAACTAGCTTCCAGGCACTGTGTCCTTTCTACTGATGTTGCAAAAAAATGGAAACTCTGTCTCAAAAAAAAAAAAAAAAAAAAAAAAAGAAAAAAAATGTACATTCTAAATATAACATTTAAAGTGTTTATCATGTGTTGATGTTAGGAAATGCCCATTTTTCTTATTTTCCTGCCTTATTTTTATGATTAGTACTTTGTAAATAATGTCTTACCAAAGGAATATTTTGAATGAATCTTAATTGGAGCACAAGACAGACAACAGAATTTATGCAAGGCTGTTAAAGCATTTTTAAAAAGTTACATAACAACAAATGAATACTAACTACATAATATGAGATCTTGCATTTTTATGTCCATTCCTAGAATGGAAAGTGGGGTGGGGAGAAGGCCAGGGTTCTGAGGGCATTTTTCCAGCCTTGGCCATGTGGCCAGCCATTACCTTCTTTAAGATTGTTGTGTTTAGATGCCCCTCCCAAGGAGCTTATCCTCCTAGGGCAGTTTGATGGTCAGGCCTAATTTAATTGAACCTGGCCTCCTAAGGGAAGTGTAAATTATAACACCCCTCTAACATCCTTCTACAATTAGACCTGTTCTGTAAGACAGAAGGTAAATGGATTGAGGTCCCCTATGTACAAGTTTTCTTATTTTTTTTTTTTTTTTTGAGAAGAGTTTCACTCTTGTTACCCAGGCTGGAGTGCAATGGCGCCATCTCGGCTCACCACAACCTCCTCCTCCTGGGTTCAGGCAATTCTCCTGCCTCAGCCTCCTGGGTAGCTGGGATTACAGGCACGCGCCACCATGCCCAGCTAATGTTTTGTATTTTTAGTAGAGACGGGGTTTCACCATGTTGACCAGGTTGGTCTCGATCTCTTGACCTCGTGATCCACCCGCCTCGGCCTCCCAAAGTGCTGGGATTACAGGCTTGAGCCACCGCGCCCGGCTAAGTTTTCTTATTTCTAAGGGATAATCCTCAGCTATGTAAGGCCTGTAACCTATACACTACTGGCCCCTCCTCAGCACTACCCCCATATCGAGGAGTCAGGGAAAGCCGAGGTGGTCAAGGCACCAAGGCTACTAGGATGGCCCAGCTCTGCCCCCTACAGGCAGTAGGACGAGAATTTGGCCCAACCAAAGTACATACTCCCTTTTCTCTTTCTGACTTAAAGCAAATCAAGGCTGACTTAGGAAAATTTTCAGATGACCCAGACAAGTACATGGATGTTTTGCAGGGCCCGGGTCAGTCCTTCTATTAAATTGGGAAGATATTATGTTACTGCTTAGTCAGACCCTAACCAGTAATGAGAGACAGGCTGATCTGGCAGTGGCTCAAGAGTTCGGGGACACGTGGTACCTTAGTCAAGTACATGATCAAATGACATCAGAGGAGAAGGACAGATTCCCTACAGGTAGACAGGCAGTCTCTAGCATGGATCCTTGCTGGGATCCTGATTCAGAACATGGGGATTAGAGTCATAGGCACTTATTGACCTGCATACTTGAGGGAGTAAGACAAACCAGGAAAAAGCCCGTAAACTATGAAGAGTTATTCACCATAACTCAGGGAAAGGAAGGAAACCCAACAGACTTCCTTGAGCAGTTTTGGGAAGCCTTAAGAAAGTATACTCCCCTGTCACCAGACTCCAAGAGTCACCTAATACTAAAAGTCAAATTTATTATGCAATCAGCAGCAGACATTAGGAGGAAGCTCCAGAAGCTGGCCCTGGGGCCAGAACAGAGTCTAGAATCATTACTAAATCTAGCAACCTCACTGTTCTATAATAGAGACCAGGAGGAACAGGCTGAAAGAAAAATGCCACAGCGCTGGTCATGGCTTTTAGGCAAGCAGACCTAAAGAGCCTGGAAAAGGGAAAGGCTTGGGTTAGCTTCCAGTCTGGCACAGCTTGCTACCACTGCAGCCTACCAGGACACTTTAAGAAAGATTGTCCCCAGAGGAATGGACTATCTCCTCATCCTTGCCCACTGTGCCAAGGGGATCACTGGAAGGCACACTGTCCCCGGGGATGAGGGTTCCCAGGGTCTGAGGTGGCTAACCAGATGACCCAATAGCAGGACTGGGGGTACCCAGGGCAAGCACCAGCACGAGCCAGCACCCTCACCAAGCCCCAGGTAAAGCTGACCATAGAGACCCAGGAGGTCCACTTTCTCCTGGACACTGGCACAGCCTTCTCAGTTTTCCTTTACTGGCCTGGAAGGTTGTCCTCCAAGTCTATAACTATCTGAGGAGTCCTAGGACAAGCAGTGTCCTGATATTTCTCCCAGCCCCTAAGCTGTAACTGGGGAGATATGCTCTTCTCTCATGACTTCCTCATCATGTCAGAACGTCCCACTCCCTTACTAGGGGAGGACCTGTTAGAGTAGGAACCATTATCTATATAAACGTCAGGGAAGAAATCCTGAATGCCTGCCCAATTCGAATAAGGCTAAAAGATCCCACCTCTTTTCCTTACCAAAGATAGTACCCCCTAAGACCAGAAGCCACAAAGGGGCTACAGGATACTGTAAGGAACTTACCTCAAGGTCTATTGAGGTCCTATAACAGCCCTTGTAATACTCCAATTTTAGGAGTACAAAATCCTAATGGACGATGGAGGCTAATGCAGGATCTCAGGCTCATTAATGAAGCTGTGGTCCCTTTATACCCAGCCGTACCCAACCCATACACCTTGCTCTCTCAAATACCAGGAGAGGCACAATGGTTCACATCCTGAACCTTAAGGATGGTTTTTTCTGTGTTCCGTTACATCCTGACTCCCAGTTTCTGTCCACCTTTGAAGGCCCTTTAGACCAGAATTCTCAGCTCACCTGAACAGTGTTATCCCAGGGCTTTTAAGATTGCCCCAATCTGTTTGGCCAGGCTCTAGCTCAGGACATTAGTCATTTTTCATATCCAAATACCCTGGTTCTTCAATATATGGATGACTTACTTTCAACTGCTAACTCATAAACCCAGTGTCAGCAGGCCACCCAGGACCTTCTAAATTTCCTAGTCACCTGTGGATATAAGGTTTCCAAATCAACAGTCTAACTTTGTAGGCAACAGGTAAAATATCTAGGGCTTGTCTTGTCTAAGGGCACTCAGGCCCTTGATGGAGAATGTCTCCAACCCATACTGGCCTTCCTGTGTCCAAAAACCTTAAGACGGTTGTGGGGATTCTTAGGAATAACTGGTTTCTGCCAATTGTGGATTCCCAGATATGGTGAAATAGCTAAACTCCTTTACACTCTAATTAAGGAAATCAAAAAAGCTAACACCCATCTAATGCAATGGGACCCTGTAGCTGAGGTGGCCTTTCAGACCCTGAAGCAGGCACTACTGCAGGATCCAGCTCTAAACCTTCCTATAGGGAACGACTTCTCCCTGTAGGTTATGGAATAGTCAGGAGTGGCACTGGGGTTTCTCACCCTGACTTGGGGGACCATACCACAACTCGTGGCATACCTAAGTAAGGAAACTGGTGCAGTAGCAAAAGCCTGGCCACACTGCTTGCGGGTCACAGCCATGATGGCTTCGTTGGTCACAGAAGCTGTTAAAATTGTGCAGGGGAAAGATCTAACTGTATGAACTTCATATGATGTAGCTGGAATTCTGGCCTCTAAAGGAGGCTTATGACTGTCTGACAACCACTTACTCAAATATCAGGCCTTAATGCTCAAAGGGCCTATACTTCAGCTGCACACATGTGCAGCCCTCAATTAGCAACTTTTCCTCCTGAGGAAGGGGCAGACAACATAACTGTCAGCAGGCTATAGCCCAGAACTATGTGGCTCGAGAGGATCTCTTGGAAACTCCTCTAGCCAATCCTGACCTTAACCTATACACTGATGAGGTTCCTTTATTGAAAATGGAGTTTGAAAAGCAGGATATGCAGTAATCAGTGATCAAACAGCACTTGAGAGTAATTCCCTTCCTCCTGGGACTAGTGCCCAGCTGGCAGAGCCAGTAGCCCTCATTCGAGCTCTAAAATTAGGAAAAGAATAGAGAATAAACGTATACACAGATTCCAAATATGCTTACCTGCTTCTCCACGCTCATGCAGCTATATGGAAGGAAAGAGAGTTCCTAACCTCAGCAGGAACTCCCATTAAATATCATAAGGAAATTTTAGATTTATTATAAGCTGTCCAAGAACCCAAAGAGGTAGCAGTCTTACACTGCCAAGGTCACCAGAAAGGAGATGAGAAGGAAGCAGAAGGCAATAGTGCAGCTGACCTAGAGGCAATAAGGGCAGCTAGACAAGAATTTATAGAAGGACCTTTAATATGGGAAAACCCTCTCCAGGGAACTAAACCTCAATACTCATCAGCAGAGGTAGAGCGGGCAAGCTCCCAGGGACATAATCTTCTTCCTTCAGGGTGGCTAGCTACTGAGGAGGGAAAAGCACTCCTACCTGCTGCCAGCCAGTGGAAGGTACTTAAAATCCTACATCAAACCTTCCATATGGGTATAGATAATATGTATGGAATAGCCAAATCTATATTTACAGAAAAAGGCCTGTTCAAGACTGTCCAACAAATAGTCAAAAGATGTGAAATATGCCAGAAAAATATTCTTTTGGCACACTGCAAAATTCCTCCTGGGGAACAGGGAACCAGTCATTATCCAGGTGAGGACTGGCAAATGGACTTCACCCATATGCCTAAGTCTCAGGGACATCAACATCTGTTAGCATGTGTAGATACCTACACAAACCGGGTTGAGGCTTTCCCCTGTAGAACAGAAAAAGCCCAAGAGATAGTAAGAGTCCTGATTAATGAAATAATCCCTAGATTTGGGCTCCCTGTCTTCAAAGCAATAATGGCCCTGCCTTCAAAGCTGCAGTGACCCAAGGAATTTCCAAAGCGTTAGGAATACAGTATCATCTCCACTGTGCTTGGAGGCCTCAGTCCTCAGGGAAAGTTGAGATGAACAAAATTCTTAAGAGACACCTAAAGAAACAGGCACAGGAAACCCACCTCCCGTGGCCTTCCCTATTACCAATAGCACTCTTAAGGGCTCAAAACTCTGCTCAGAAAATAGGACTCAGCCCCCATGAGATAGATGCTTTATGGAAGATCCTTTTTTACTAATGATCTTGGATTAGACAAGGAAACAGCAGATCTACCAAAAGATAGAACCTCCTTGGCTAAGTACCAACAGCCTCTTAGGACGTTACCTGAAGGACACCCTAGGGAAAAAGGGAAAGAGTTGTTCTGCCCTGGACACTTGGTGCTTGGTAAGTCTCTCCCCTCAGACTCTCCCTCTCCAGGCCCATCTTGGGAAGGACGATTTTCGGTTATTCTATCTACCCCAATGGCAGTTAAGGTGCTGGGAATTGACTCGTGGATTCATCACACTTCGCTGAAGCCTTGGACACCTCCTGAATAAAATCATAGGCCCTCCACTCCACAGCCTGAAGTTCCAGGAGACGGCCCTTTGTACACCTACCAGCGTTTCAAGGATCTATGTTTGCTCTTCCAACAAGATCCCCAGGAAGGTAACTACTCATGAGTCTAACTTACAACCTGGCATTAACAGGACTATCACTCTTAACTTTACTATTTGCAACCAGACTCTATGTGGTCGCCCCTACGGATGGACCTACATCTCATAAACTGTCCTTATCCATGGCTTACTGCCTAATTATATTTCTAATAGCTCTCCTCTTCTCCCTCTGATATGATCACTCCCTCGCTATGACCTCTCTTAAGGTTCTCATTATCTTCTCTTTAGCCCCACTCATCCTGTCAACTCGTGCACACCCTACATGTAAACTCATAGTACTAGCTATAATCTTCCTGGAAGAAGCACCCATGATTTGTCACTCCAAGACTGGTTCCAGAGGTACAACCACCTCCTATTTTCATATCATACATGTATATGCACAAAAATTGCTATACCTCTGCTTCCCTGTGCACATACAACTCACACACCTACTGGACTGAACAATAATTAGGCCTAATTGTCCAGCTGCTAAGGAACCACCACCTGTTGGGCATACTTTACCCATGTTGGAATGTCAGATGGTGGTGGAGTTCAAGATCAGGCTCAGGAACAGCATCGTTAGGAACTAGTCTCTACTCTAAGCAAACTGCAAAGTAAAACCAGTCCCTAAAAGGGCCTGGACCTTTCCAAGTTACACGAGGCCCTTTGTACACACTCTCGTATACTCAGCTTATTTACCACCACCCTCACAGGAATACAAGAGGCCGCCTCCAACAACCCAACTGACTGTTGGATTTGCCTTCCACTATGCTTCAAACCGTATATCCCAGTTCCAGTTCCATACTCATGGAACCTAACTAACTCTCCCTCAAATCATACAGGGCTTATAGGTCCCTTGGTCACAAATCTACACATACCATCTACCGTAAACTTCACTTGTGTGAATTCTCCTAACAACTCCAATGCTTCCCTATGCCAAAGCTGGGTTGCCTTATCCCCAGTCCTCAACTGCCTAGCACCAGGCTTATTATTTGTTTGTGGCACCTCAGCTTACTGCTGCCTGAACAATGCCCCTGGGGAAACATGCCTCCTCTCCTTCCTAGTGCCCCGCCATGACGATTTACACCGACTCTTAGGTGCAGAGTCTTCTCTTGCCAAGGCCATACCATACTTGAACCCCAATTATTCCTTTCATAGTGGGGGCCGGAATAACAGGAGGACTTGGTCCTGACATTGAAGGAATTACAACCTCTACTCAGTTTTACTATAAGCTATCTCAGGATGGAAAAGTTGCTAATTCTCTCATAACTCTGCAGAAGCAGCTTAACTCTTTAGCTGCTGTGGCTCTTCAAAATAGAAGGGCACTGGATCTGCTAACAGCAGAGAGGAGGATCCTGTCTCTTTTTAGGAGAAGAATGCTACTACTTTGTAAACCAATCAGGTCTTGTCTTAAAGTTAAAGAACTCAGGGACCAAATCAAATGCAGGGCTAAAGACCTCCAAGAAACAGGATCCTGGAGCTTGTGTAGCAACTGGCTGTCCTGGCTCTACCGTCTTCCAGGCCCGTTTGTCACCATTCTGTTGTTGCTGGCCTTCAGGCCTCTCATCTTTAACCTTCTTGTCAAATTTGCTTCTTCTAGAATTGAGGCCATGAGGCTACAAATGGTCCTGCAAATGAAACCCGGAATGCCTTGACTCATGAGCTCTATAACAGACCTCTGGATTGACCTAAACCCCTGGAAGACTCCCCTCTGGAGGAAACCTCAACTGCAGGGCCCCTTCTGTGCCCCAATTCAGCAGGAAGTAGTTAGAGAGCAATCGATGCCCATGTCCCAACAGCAGCTGGACTTTCCTGTTCAGAGGGGGTACTGAGGGACTGTGTTAAAGAAACTTCTCTTCCTGGGTCCACATGGGGCATGGTTTCAAATGCAGGAATTTCCTTTGAGCACCTCCTCTACACCTCCATCTGGAGACCAGAGGGGATTCAAATGCAGGAATTTCCTGGCTCTCCACCTCACTGAGCACCTCCTGCACGTGGGCCAGGTAAAATTCTGTCTGATCTTCCTGTGCAAGGGAAAGCCAGGTGGGGGACTCTTTTGTCCCAAATTCCCACTGAAAGCTCTGGGAGGAAGAGGCTGTGTAATTCAGGGTTGTAGAAGAAGTAGCCAATCCAGTGTCAGAGTCAAAGATCAATCACTCCGGAGGAAGTCTGAAGGAACTCCCCTCATTGGACGAGAACATGAATAGGGAGGGAATAACTCAAGGATTAAAACGTCAGGGGCTCCTACCTGAAGGGTTTCCTTCTCTGAGTCCCCTCCCATGACAGTGTGGGAGCTGTCTTCTTTCTCTCTCTCTGTCTAATAAATTACTCTTCTGCAAAACTCTTTGGGTCCACGATATTTATTGGAATGGTAAACTCATCACGCCTCCAGGGCCCCTTTCCCCATTGTTCAGGGTTAGAGAGACCAAGAATGTACAAGCCCTGGGTACTGTCCTGGAAACAGCAATATGAAAGATACATGCCACAGAAGAAGAATACCAGAGTCCAAGTAAGAAACTCTTGCTTTTAAATGCATTGATGTGACCTGTGAAAATATATTTTATCTTTTAGGCCTAGTTTTTTCATTAATGAAAGACAAATAATAAGCAATTCCCGTGGGTCTACTGTGAGGATTTAAGGGGGAAAAAGCAAAACTATGTAAAATTCCATTCAAGAGCTTACGCCTGGTATAAAAGTTCAATCAATAGTGATTTTTCTCTACAGTTTTGTTCATGTTAACCACAACTGCATTTATATTTTAATCACCTCTTCCAAACACCAGAAACCACCCTCTTTTCAAAGTATATCAGTTCTTTGAAATATTACATAATTAAATAATTGAAGGCTCAGAATGTCATCTTTGTTTGTGAATAACTTTCTCGTTATTTTTAAAATAATGTTTCCACACTATTACACCAAACTTAAACCCATGATGTTTTAGAACTAAATGGTTTATATAATATTTAAAGACTAAATAAATATGTATTTCTTCTATCCTAATGAATACTTAGCAATAAAGAGATGTATTTTAAATACCATAGAATGCTGCCTCTTTGATCCAGGTTTAAAAAGAAAATTTTATACGGCATTAGAGTAGCCTACAGTCTTTAAATTTTTCTTACTGGCCTCCACCTGAGAAAGGAATGGCACTTTCTTTGTTACCTTATAAGATGGAAGAGGTAAGCGAAAGGACTGCGGAGGGATTGTTGATAGTGATTTACCTAACTTCTTCACAAGTAGCAACTTCATGTTGCTTTTACTTTATTTCTGACACCTACTAAATGTGTTAAAAGCACTAGTTCAGAATTTATCTTAAGTAGGTTTTCGTGAATTTAATATTGTGTGGGCACTCAATCTTTGCAAATGTGGAAGGATTTTTTTTTTTTCCTGAAAAGACTATAAAGTAGAACAGCTTCCTTGGGTAGTAAATAGCAAGTGTACAGGTTTCTAAGATCAAGGAGTGGTTAAAGTCAATTTTGTCCTGTAAATGGCTCTGCATATAAAGCGAAGTGCCTGGGCAGGACAACGTGATAGAAGATGGTGCACTTAGTGCCCAGGATCTATTTTTCTTTGGATAAACAGAGTGTTTCACTCTCTTTCCTTTCTGCCAATCTTCCTTTCACAAGGACTAAATTACCTAAATGGAGAGTGGGTTGTTAAATGTCTGAACTTCAAGATTCTAAAAGTACTGGCAGTTTGCCATATTGAAGATCTGACAATGACTGGTCTTGTTTTTACTTAAACACTCCTCCCCATTTAGATATTGACAATATAGATAATGGGAATGTCCTGTAATTTCCTGCCACACTTTATGTTCAGTGGGAGAGCTCAGTATCTTTACAGAACTTCTATTTTTTTATTTTTTTTTCATCCCTACTTCCACTGAAGTATTCATTGGAATGGTAACTTTCACAGTTCTACTTACTATTTTAACCTGTACAAGGAAGATGCTGTCCCTGCACTGTTTTATAATGCTATTCTTCTTAGAGTGAATTGGAAATACAGAATGAAAACAGGAATCAGGAAGTGGAAAATCTATGGTATTGAGGTAGTCACACAAATAGAAAGATGCTGGTACCATTTTCAACCTAAGATTATTTTTATATCTAGCACCATATTCCCATTGAATGGCAACCACTGTAGTATATATACATGGTTGACTGGATTTGATTCAAATTACCAACATTTCTTAAGTTTGTTTCCTTTATTTGAAGAAGTTATTATTTGGCATTTCCTATCTTTCTCAAATAAAGCTAAAAGGAGTTAAATTCAGAGAGTGTGTGGGTAGCTAGCTAGAACATAGTAAACACTCAATAAATTTGCTAATGTTGTTAAGGCTGAACTTTTTTGATAAGTTTTCCTTGACAGATATATTCAGGTCTAAGCCAAATTATTTGTCAAGTTTCCCTTATGTAGTTCCAGAGTGATTATATCATGTCCCAAATCTGACTATAGCAAGTTATCAAAGGGTAGTATTCTTTTTTCTCCTCTTACAACTTTTACTAAAATTCAGAAATGTGTATCCAGAGATGTTTAAGAAGCACTGGTACAATTTCTATGCATACTTTTCTATAGGAAAAAATACTATTTCAAGTGACTGTTGCTAATTTCCATTTTTTTTCTTTTCTTTTTTGAGATAGAATTTCACTCCTGTTGCCCAAGCTGGAGTGCAATGGCGTGATCTTGGCTCACTGCAACCTCTGCCTCCTGGGTTCAAGTGATTCTCCTGCCTCAGCCTCCCAAGTAGCTGGGATTACAGGTGCCTTCCTCCATGCCTGGCTAATTTTTTGTATTTTTAGTAGAGACTAAAAAATACATGTTTCATCATGTTGGCCAGGCTGGTCATGAACTCCTGACCTCAGGTGATCCACCCACTTGGCCTCCCAAGTTAAAGTGCAATCTTTAATATGAGCTCCAAATACAGTCAAAGCACAGAAGATAATCCAGGCAAAAAGAGAGAAATCTATAGTACAAGATAAATTTAGAAAAGAGCAAAGCATTTTTAATTTGAAGTAAACAAATCAGGCATATAGCCTTTATCACTGTAAATAAAGTACCTAGTTGAAATGATTCAAAATAATGCATTTAGCTAAAAAGCACACTATATTAATTGCTCATTTATAAACAGCTGTGTAGGGACACAGACATCACAATTAAATGATCATTAAACCAGCATAAAGAACTCAACTGATGATTTTACAATATATCATGGTAGTAAATTTATTCTAAAAAGTTAGAAAATATTGAAATACTGAACATATCCATTGTGCTACTTAAATTCACACACATACACATACACACACACACATACACAATCTTTTGATATTTTAATAGATTTCAGTAGTAGAAGCAAACAGAGTAGGCAGGTTTGGAAGGGATACTGGATAGAAAGTAGGGGAGACGACCCAAGATTAAGCTGGAACCCACAAACATGATCTGAACTCCCATGAAGATGCAGTGTCAGCTCTGTTTGCCTCTGACTTTGATGGGGAAGGGATCTTGAAGAAATTGGGCCCTTTGCATGCAGATAAACACACTCACTGCATCCAGGAATTTGAGAAATAAGGGGACAATAAAGGAATTGCAGGCCCTGCCACTGCCTCATATCAATGAAGGAAGCAAGCTGGTAGGTGGCAATATGTATAAGAAACAAAACAGCTTTTGCTTCACTTCCACTGTGGAAATCTCTAACAAGACTTCTTTTGTGAAATTGCTAAGAAATCAGGATTTATGTGTTAAAACAGGTGGCAGTTTCTTAATCAAATTAAATGTTGATAGAGCAAAGAAGAGGTCTTAAGACTGAGCTCTGGGACTTTTAGAGGATTGCCTTATGGTTTGTCTTCTGGATTTTTCTGTTTTTAATTTTTTAAAATTAGGATAAAAATTCAGAGAGAGGAGTAGTTAATTAAGAGTCAGACGGAGACAAACGGAAAGACAGAAAGAATGCTGAGCCATTTTGCTTACCAGAAATTATTTCAAAAATGCTTTCAATTAGAATACATTCAGTGCCTATCTCCACCATCTTTAAACTGCCTAAAGTCACTTTCACACTTTTATTTGGAGCATTGAGTAATGGCCTTTATTTTTCTTTAATAGCGAGAGAAAATTCAAAATAAATTGATAATACATATGAAGATAAGGGGAATCATGGTTATATAGGGCAGTATTTTCTCAAAATTTAAATGAAATTCAAATGCACAAGCAAGACTCTGGGCAAGAAATCTGATGTTATCGTAAGAAGGACTGTGAGAACCTGAAGGATTTATAGCTTGATAGGGACTGAATTTTACCTATGAAATTGTAATTATTTTAAGTATGGAAGAAAATAGATCCCAAAGTAAGAAACTGACCTGCTGTGGGATCTTGTCCCCTACATCTATGAGTCTACTTCAGGATGCCTGTGCTTTTGGTAATTTTGCTACTCACCTCCTTACAGACATTGCTCCAAATAAAGAGCCCCATTTCTATTACATAATCACCCCCCCAGTTGATATGAGTATATCTATTTCTGAAATAAAAATAAAACAAAACAAAATAAAATAAAACAAATGTCCTTATTTACAATACCAACTCCCGACTGTTTTTTCTTTTCTCAATCAAAATTACTGAAAATTTATCATACATTTTTCTGAGTCCAGTTCTCTGCATCTAATGACATTTTAAAATTTAACAGTCTAGTTTCTTTCTCCATGCCTGAATTCAAAATATTCTTTGCAAGGAAATTAAAAGCCTTTGGGTACTAAATTTAATAAAAAGCATTTCCATCCTTTTGTGACTGTATCACACTATATTCCAGTCAACACTGCTGAGCTTTTGTTCCTTGTAAGGTTTTCCTCCATTTGTTTGCCCTGATTATCTTGGTGCCTCTTGGACTATTTCTTTTTATTTTCTTCTCTACTTTTGTTTTGTTTGCACTTTAAACTCATAATCTCTATTTCTTGCCCTCACCTCTCCTATGGCTTCACATGAATATATTCACCTGCACTCTCAACATCTTCCTCTGGACATCCTATGGATAGTTATGAATTACCTTCTGCCAACATGAACCAATCTTCTCCTTCAATTTTTATCCTCAGTCTATTTTTCTTCTAATTCTGCTATCATTAATTGGAGAGCCATAATTCATTTTTGACTATATCTTTATTCTTATAATCACACAAAATGAATCAATTCAATAAACATCTGCTGTTCTTATTGCATAGAAATTAATAACCAGAAGGACTGTGATATAATAAAGTTAATTATCAACTCAAATAAATTAGTATGAAACTAAGCCTAGCACTTAAAAATTGTAGACAAATAGTAGACAAATTAGTAGACAAATTCCTAAGCATCTCCAAGCCACATTTTATTCTTTTATATTGGGAAATAATAGTAATTCATCTTATAGATTAGATTTAATAACTCCATACATTATTTTACTATGTTCCCTGGTTCAAATATATTTTTTCTTAATTATAATTTTATCATTTTTATATAAAATCTCATTAGTTCTAACTTAGATTATTATGTAATTCTGCTAACTAGTTTCTCTGAATAAAATCTATTCCCCATGAAAAAACAGTTTTCAGGCAATTATAAGATCTCCAACATTTACTTTTGTCTATAACTTGCTACAAAGTAAAGTGCTTCATTTATTTTCATCACGCACATCTCCTAGTCAAATAACTTTATTATTAGATACTAAGTACTCTGGCTTCTCCTTTCATGCCTAGAGTCATCTCTTGCCCTCTCTAAATTGTAACTGTAATTACAATTCTATTTGCCTAAGGCAATTTACATGAGCAATAACATCTAACATATGCCAGGTTCTCTAATTATTTTACCTGAATTAACTCAATAGTATTATCTTAATTTTCATGTTAACATCTACAATTGAAGAAGTATCTAACTTGGCCAAGTCTCGCAGCTAGAAAAGGGCAGACCTGTAATCTGAACCCAGGATTACTGGCCCCTGAACCTGCATTTCTAATTGCTCCGCTCCATGTCCTCTCAACTGCACCTTGATTTTTAAATCAAACTCATCTGACTCCCTGTTTATGCCAAATAGAATAACTGAAAAAATCAAGTAAATTGCAAAATTATTTATTTAATTTGGAGATTTATCTAGCTCTTGCACAGTTTATGGACTGTAGGATTCAGTGTCAAAGACTTGGAAACAGCACCCTCAAAGGAAGAGATTTCAGCATTTTACCCATAAAGTGGTCTAGAAAAGTGTCAGGCCCATTAAAGACATTCAAAATAATGTGTTAAATAAACTAATACATGAGTGAAGAATGAATCATCAAATGATTGACAATAGAGCTCATCTAACAGTAAGGAAAGTTTCTTCAAATTTATCATGGAGGAATTTAAAAGTTTCAAAACATATCATGGGCACATTTAAAAGTTTTATGGACTTAACATTTTTCTTATTTTATGCATGATATTCTTGGATGACTAG